TAAATAGATACTTAATGGTCCAGTAAGTAGCCTAATTGTAAATATCCTAAGTAATAGTCGTATTATCTAACCAAAACAAAGCAATTAGGGTTGGTGGGGTATCTTTTTTGTTTTGGGCACTAAAACTTTTTTGGGCTCGAATACAATGGTCAACAAACACTTCTTTGTTTTACCCTGCCCTTTTCTTTAAAGAAAATTCAGTTTTTGAAATAGAGCAGGGGTGAAGAAATTTTTATTGTAAATGATAACTTAATGATTCAGTATGGTAAATGGCCTAATTGTGAATATGCGACCATTAATAGACGCCTCACCTAAGATGGTTCAAGTTTTAGTACAATGTTTTCATTCAAATTTAGTCAAAAAAAATTTTCAACGCTCTGTAAAATGCTCAAGTGTCGCTTTAATTTTGGAAAATTTTTTGATGCCAATTTTCTGTTCAAATTTAAATTTACTGCTGTGTTGTATGCAATTTTGTTAGAAAACCGAATGTTGCCGCTAGCATCCCACAGTTGTGTCTTCAAACTGGCAACATGAACTGTTGTTGCTGCTGGCAGATTTGTTAGCTTTTGAATTTCTAGTTATCGTCCTTTCAGCCCAAAGGAAGAAAACTGCTGCTGAACACATTTCTGAATTGTTGCTAATGTTGCTGATGTTGCATGATGAAATACTTTTTGTGCAGGTAATTTTGTAAAATTTTGCTTAAGTGTGCTTGAGTCTAAAGTCAATTGGTACAAATAAGTGGATTTTTGTTTCCAACTAAAAAGTAAATGCCTGTCTGTTGTGTTTGGTATGCATGTCCATAAGTTGCATAGTCGTGCTGACCATTATGAGGTAGAAAAAAAAAATTCCTTTTACATAAAACCACATTTCAAATTTTGTTGCTCCAACTCAACTCAACTCAACTTACGACCTTTTAATAAGCAGAAGTCTCGCCAACATCATTCTCAGCATTCAACTATCAAACTGATAACTGCAATGTGCCACAAGTAACCGGAAGCTTGCGTACATTGCAAACGGAAATTTAGCCAATTAATGCTGGGAACATAAATAATTGAATTTTAAGATCTCAAGTGTGCAAGTGGTTTCACAGAGCTAAATTTCAGTGTAATATTTAGTGTTTTTTTAACTAAGTTTCGTTGAAGATTACATGAATTTTGACTTTAAAAGGTTGGAAGCGAAATTTTTATTAAATAATGTAATGAATTATTTATTTTACAACTCTAAATGATATCGAATTACAAAGCTGAACATATTTATTTTTTATTTCCTTAACAGACTTAAGTTTATGTCCATTAGTAATTTTCTCAGTTATTGCGACAAGTTGAACTGATTGCGAAAAATTTTATAGTCGTACCAACTACTGATGTTGTTACCATTACAATGATGATATCATAACAGTGCATTGCTGATATAACTTACGAGCAATGCCATTAAAAGTGCAATATTATTTACGCTCGTGGCATTGGAGTCGTCGTCGTCTTGTTGTCCTTTCCTTATTGTTTCTTAAGTAGTTAATGTAATTTATATTATTTCGTAATGTTGTTCTTTAACTTTTTGTTTAGCTTTTATTTAAAAATGTATTTTTTCTTTATTTTTATTTTTTTTGTTTCTTGAATGAAATCTAAAACGTCTACAGACCTTACTGTCTCCATTTGTCGTTCCAATTACTTTTTATTAATGTCGGTGCTACATTTTCTTTGTTGCTCTCTTGCTGCTCCCTATTAAATGCTGCATTAAGTTTAATGTCTGCCAGAAAGAACTCTTAAATATTTACGATTTAAAAATTTATACTTTTTTAATCAGTTTAAACAGTTTCGTGACGTTAATTATTTATTATTTATGAAGGTAATATTTTTAAATAAGCTTTAAATTTGTAATAATATATTTCTTTAATGATATTCAAATGTGTTCTTAAGTGTTCACTTAAGAATGTTTAAGCATTGAATAATTTAGAATTTAATTAATATTAAATTCAATGATTTATTCTTTAAAAAAAATAAATGCGTTCCTGTGGTTAACAATTAATGAAAACTGCACGTAGTAGTATTTAATAAATAAATTACCAGTTAATAGCTTTTCTCATTTCGAAATAAATATCAATAGATTATATTATCACGAAGACCCTAAGCATCTAGTTGAGACTATTAACTAAACGTGTACATTAGAGAACCAAATTTCAACAATAATTTAAAGTTTTAAAGTTTATGATTTTTCTGTAGTCCATGTTCCGCTGTCAGAAGTATAACACGGTATACAAAGAGTTAGATGTGATTTCGATGACCTGTCATAAATTTAACGATATAACCATCTAATAAAAATACTATAAATACGTTCTAACATAGTTAATTGACAGTTCTGATAGTTAACAGTAATAAGACTATGTAAACTATGTTAGGGTATTTATGATATAAAAGTTAAGAAAAACTATCACAGTAAATGGATCATGGTACGATAGTATGTTGAAAATTAATACAGAGAACTATCAAAAATTAAATAAATGTATGAAATTGTTAGCGATATAAAAGAGCTTATGCATCCAGCAGCAATGAAGCCCATGTCTTTGACCGTATCAATGGAATTGATGGCGATATGAAAGAGGTCAGGCGTTCGACAGTAATAAAGCCCATGTCTTTGAACATCTCGTCTATATAAACCTAGTATCGATTATTATTGTATTTTTATTGAAGTTTCAACGTTCCCAATATTAAAGCTACTACCCAATGTTGTTACCACAATAACTTGGGCAAGAATTTCAAATATATTGTCTATATATTTCCTGTTATGTTTTTATCTGTATTTTATTCTTGAATTTATTGATGTCCTTACAATTGGATTTTTTCAGACCATTAGAGTTGTGACAATAGTTTTTTAGCATATATTATTTATGTATTTTATACCATTTTTAAACTATAATATTCTATTAAATAAATTATTAAATATGATGTAATAAAATAACAATGAGATAAAAGTGATACTTCATACCATTTTAAAATTTTGATTATATGACCATTTTGTTAATATTGGATCGTGTGATAACCTGATTTATATTATATTAGTAATGAATGTATTACCTTCTCAAATGTTGTGTACCTTCGAATTTCTTTTACTTTAGTATAAGATGGCCAGGCGCTATTCAGCATTATGTTTTACAGCTATTTTGTCCGTGGTTGTTAATATACTCCAAAACTCAGATATATCTTTTAATAGACATTAACATTTAAAACCTTTTATAATATCAAGTGTCTTTGTGCAGTATACAAATACCATGGTGTCAACAAATACAAACCCATTCAAGTCAGCATGAAAGAAGACTCAGAGCTATAGTTTCCATTAAAGGCAGTCTTATCCAAAGTGTTTGATGGATTTGAACAATTTTATTGCTGATCTTTCAAAAAAAATCAATTTTTATTGCAAAATTATGTTAGCCTGACTTATATTAACTCTATAAAATGTTTTTATATATTTAATATTTAATATATATAATACATTTAAATAAATCTGAAACTACCAAATCTGATAGCAAATTTGAAAATTCAAACTAATGTCAATAGACCTTATCAATTGTTAGAACAACAAAAGAAAAAAATCAACATAAAATAAGCACTACTTTTGATGGCAACTCTGGAAGAACTGGAAATTTCGTTAGGCTTATATACACAAAACATGTAATAAAATTTAAAGTTAAAGTTTCGATAATGAATAGGTCTGCAATCATGGGTAAAAATATTTTTTACAGATTATGAACAAAATTTGTATTTTCAAGCTTTTTCAAGAATTGAGAATAATTTTTCAGTTAATTAAAAAGAATTGACTATTATTTGTCAAATATTTGTTCACAGTTAACTGAAAATTTTGTACGTACATCCAAAAACCGTTCACAATAGATGAATTTTTAGTGTTGGCAACCATGGAATTTGAGCTGTTTATTAGTTAAACGGTTTCAAAAAGGTTGACCTAAATAAGACAGCAGTAGGCCTTTTATTTTGTAAGCATGTCACAAGAGAACAAATAAATAAGTATTACTTTCGATGGCAACTCTGTACAAAATGGCGATTTTGTTAGACTTTTATGTGCAAAACACGTAATAAAATTTAATGTTGAAATTTCGAAAATGAATAATAATTCTTTGCAATTATTGGTGAGAATATTTTTATTTACATGATTGTAAATAAAATGTAATTTTTCATGCCTTTTAACAGTAAAATAATATATAGAAAAAATAACGTATCTGCTATGAACAATGACGACACGAAATACGAATAATTAACGAAATCATTCGTTGACAGTTAACTGGAAATATCGTAGGTACTTCCAAAAGTCGTTCACATTAGACAAATTTTTAGTCTTGGCAACCATGCGATTTGAGCTGCTTATTAGTTAAGCGGTTTCAAAAAGGTTGGACTAAATAAGCCAGCAGTGTTGTTGTTTCTTATGTTATTTTTAAAATAAGCAGTTGTTTTTTTTGTGATATGCTTACAAAAGATAAGGCGTAATGCTAAATTTGGTTGGAAATTCTTTTTTTTTCTATTAAATGATCGCATGTAAGTTATTCCTTATTGATCAAGATATTATTAAAGAAATCAATGAGTAGAGTTTATTTGTTAAAGAAAATAAAACTATTTGGGACTCCATAGAATCAACATAAAAGACTTTTCTAGGCGTAACTGCAATGGTCAATCTATAAACTCGTTTATAGATTGACCATTGCATCCAAACTGTGTTTTACCCCAAACAAATACCGACTAGATAAAATTAAGAATCAATAAACACAACTTCTACTCTCTAGCATTAGATAATAAAGTATATAAACTGTCAATATATAAATTGTAAAATAAATTATATATTACCGATTTGAAATTTTTTTTCTGCTTTAGATACTTGCCTTTACTTGTTTAATCTTTTTCACAGCATCAATCTTATGGATATATTCTTTTATCATATCAAACCTTTCCTAAACATCGCTGTTATTTTAATTAATTATATTTTTTTTTTAATTTCAGATTATTTTTAGCGTCTAGTAAATGTAAGTAGAATTCTTTTACATTGGTATATTTTATGAAAAAATATTATCTTCTTAATAATCATATATATTTACATATTATCTGTATTTGCATACATACTACTAAATCTTTAATTAACTTTTTTATTTATGTATCAGACGAATTTATTATTTAATTTACACTTCTAATTAAAACCATGTTAAGTCATTACATATATGGACCCATAAATAGTCTGTTTGAGTAACAGACAATTTAAGCAATTAAAATGCAAAGAATTCTAAAAATAATTTATGCAGCATCGTGACTTCTCCGATATTTAAGCAAAATTAGAGAAGTGTCAGAGTGAAGTTGCAATTTTTTACACCAGTCTATAATAGAACTATTTGCACTGCTTAACTTTAAAATGAAAATGGTTTTTCAGACTAAATACTTGCGAATATTCAGTTTCTGTTTAGTAAGTTCAGAAAAACCATAAAACTAATAATAGTGATGAGAATATTGCAAAAGTTAAGAAAGATCGCAATCTTCAGATATTTTTGTATCTTATAATTATTAGATAAGCAAAGTGAAACTTGTCAAAATTAAGTATTTTACTTATACCATAAATATAATAATACAATAATTTCTTGTATTAATATTTTTTAAGAAGTAGTTTACAAATTACAACTCTGTATCCCTAATGACATGTCTACATACATACTATTATGATTTTACTACCATATTTGTTTAGAGTTTACTTATAATGATTATATATTAATACGTTAGTCGTAAGATTAATCATTTAGAGAATTGATAATTGATAATTTTGTTATAAAACACACACTCAGAAAAATATATGGTGTGAATAAACCAAGAGGTTGCGACGAGTAAGAATATGTTAATCTGCGATTTATTTAAAATCTGGTTAAATCAATCAAATTAATTTTCTGAGTACATTAATCAAAATAGAAAGTACAAATTTATAATATATATATTATACACAAACATACATATAAAGTATATAAGCATATAATTTTCAATATTTATTTTATTCCCTTTATACCTCGTTTGATATTATGATCTCATGTGAGAACAGTTTCCTATTAGGACACATTGCTATTACGCCTGTTTAGGCATAGTTTTAAGCTCGCCCTATGATTTAGTAATTATCTTATTTACAGTTCAGAAACGTTTTCCTTTGAGTGTTATTTTAATTTTGTGAAGTATAAGGTAGTTAAGTCTGAAGAATATAATAGTTGTGGCATTGTAATGATGTTTTGTTTCGCCTAAAACTAGCAGATAACCAATACGGTATTTATTTCGATTCAAAATATTTAAGTTTTCACAGTTTGTGTCATTTCTTCTAAGTTTTATTCTCTGATTGAACATAGACGATAAAAATACGGAATGCACGTCTCAATTCTAGTTTAAAAAAAAGTGGAAACAAAGTTCTGGATCATCAGAAAATTTTAATTAGTTCTTAATTTAGTTGTTGTGACCATATAACTACGTTTCGTCTCCTATTATAACAGCATTAACAATCTAGAACAATCTAGAAAACATAATCACAATCACTATTACCACAATCTTTAAAATTATTCATCTTCAATATTTATGATACTTTCTTAAAAAAACTATAGGGTACATAAAATCAATTGTGAATAGTTTGATTATTAGCTGTCATTTTAATAATTTTTTAATTGCCAGAAATATTTTGAATTATGGAAATATACATGTGCTCAATTTTTTAAAATTTTAATGAAATTGCTAATAATTTTCAAAATTCTCATACAAGTACCGTTGTATGAGTATATACAAATAGAGAATCAACAAATTTGAAAACCCATAGTTAGTCCAAACATGCAAATATATCACAGATAGGATGGGAAAATTCGTTAACGCGTTAAGTCTGACACACAATAGAGGTCAACAGTTCAACATATTTTTGCTTCAGTTTTCTAGACATAAATAACATAAATTTAATAACTGCGAAGCAAATGAACTATTCCGAATATCATAGTTCCGCACTCAGATTATCTCTAGAGCCTTAACATATCGCTGTCCACCTGCTCCTAATAATATCTAGCCTTAACCGTTTCAAAAACAGATGAGAAAAGTTCCGGTTTCCCTATAAAACTTACTGGACAGGAAACAAGTTTTGTTTTTGATTGTTAGTGAATCATTATACTAAAACTAACTAATGCCGGAAGAATAATACGACTACTTGTCATATGCAAGTAAATATTGCATTGAAAAGTTGAAGGAGGTGCAATGATAGTGCCATTTTTACGCTCACTCCTCCTACTTGGTTAGTATCATTAGGGAATTATATTCTTTAGGGTAAACTTTTAAGATTTGAACAGACGTGATATATTTTTGATTGTTTTAATATGTTTGAATATTTAGCAAAAAAGGTTTATAATGGTATCAAAACAGGGCAAATGCTCAAAAAAATTCGTATTTTTCGGAACTGTGAACTCTATCAAATACAATTCACTCACGGATCTAACGAATAGAAATAATAATCGAGGAAATATTTAACAAATATACTATTTAAACGTAAAATTTAAAAAGAATGTATATTTTTTAATAAAATTTTTATTAAATATATGACATGTTACAAATATATTTTAATTTTATTTGTAATTTTTTATAACTTCAAATGAAAAATGGATAACATGTATTTACTCTAAATCTGATATTATATTTTAAATTTTACTAAATCAGACCAAAAACTTTCTCAATCAAAATAGACAATTTAATCCAGTAATGAATCAAAATCTATGTATGTATCGGTACTCCACTTTGAAGTTTCCAATGCATCGTAAAACTGATTATCCTGATTCATGGTTTCCTGGTTTAATTCATCAACATTAATCTCACTCCGATAATCTACTAAATCCTCTTCACCAGCTTCACTGTTGTGAACAGTAATTTCATTTGAATTGCATTCTTCACCTGGCGGACATTCTGGCTCATATGTTACATTATTTTCTGTATATGGTTCTTCATATTGATATGCATTCACATCATTCATTTCGTATGAATTATACATATTGTTATAATCATATGAGTGATCCTGTTCATAGTTATTATAATAATAATTCGATGTCGAATAATTCAATGTTGTATTTTCAGTTTGAGTGACTTGGGCTGGATATTCACATTCCTTCATGTGTGAATTATATTTCCAAGAGGCTATACTAACTTTGATAGTTTTTAGACCTAGTCCATTAAATCCATTCATTTGTTCTGCAGCCAACCTTTGTTCTGCCTCACTGGAAAAACGCACGAAACCAAATCCCCTAGAGAATCCAGAACTATTATAAATCACATTAGCATACATTATTGATGGATATAGTGAAGAAAATGCGTAATAAAGCTGATAATTATCAACATCGGAAGACAATTCACCCACAAAAACGCTATAATTTTTTTCTTTGCTAAACGGATTTGAGTTATTGTTAACTGGAAAGTTGAGTTTAAAACGAACTATTGGTCGAGTTCCCGGAATCGGCTTACCATTTAATCTATGCATGGCTGTTAAAGCCCTACCGTATGTTTCAAAACGTACAAAACCATATCCTGCAATTGCTCCAGTTTTTTTATCACGAATTATTCGAACCGATAGTACTTTTTCATTCAACGAACGAAATGCAGAACCAATAAATTCTTCAGTCATATATGGTTCCAACTAATATTAAAAATAAATGAGACAATATATTGTGTAGGTAATAATTAGTAAATTGTTTATTCTATTAGTAATAGAATATAATGGTATAGTATAGAATAGTTTATAATAGTAATAAAACTTATACATTGCCCATCCATAATTGATAACTATCATGTGGATACATTCTGTTCACGAAAACAAGGCCACATAAACCACGAAAGCGATGAAACCCACGACTCAAAAGAATACCGTGATGTTACGAACACGATTTTTATTGAAATGTCAGTATCAGTGCATTTTAACAGTGTTGCATTCATGTGCTATCATAGATTAATTATCAGAATGATATTATATGACATATATTCTTTACAGTCTATAAATATTTAAATTGCTTCAACAAAATAAAGTTAATCGTTGGTAAAATAGCTAAGTGAATTTCTCTTAAGTGAGAATAGTCGGTATTCCCATTCAAGTAATGTTTGTATAATATTTTTTTTATAATAGCAGAGTAATAAATTTAATAATAAAGTAAAATTTAAAATAAAATAAAATATATGAAAATATAAATGATTTTCTCTACCACGCGTTGGAAAATAAATTAAAACCACGAAGTAAAAATAAATTGTTATTAAATCTGTTAATGTAATATATATTCTATAATATTTTTGATTTGTTTACGCTAAGATATTTAACTACATATATTGAGAAATTTTGCATGATCGATCAGTTTATTGTTATCGCTTGAAAACTAGGAATTAACTTTGTCTACTGTCTTTCTCTACTATCGCCAATTAGTAAGATCAATAAGGGATCTTTCCAAAAATCAAGCAGGTTATGGTAATAGTACATGATTTTTAAATAATGCTTATTTCTTTTGGTCATTTAAGTATTTAAAAATAAATGAATTGCATAGTAGATTAAGAAAGGGTTAAACGTATGTAAGTTGAGTGAGTTAAAAATATTGGACGTCACAAGGTTGTTATAGCATAAAATTTAGTCAAATTTTTTATTGGGCTCGGGATACATCTTAGTATATTTTATTCCACTGTTCTACGTACGTACATATCAATATCTTTAGATGCAAGTATTTAGTATAATTAAATATTAAACAATATAAAAATATATCGTTTATACTCAATTGAACTAGCTGTAGTGTCATTTTGTGTGTATCTTTTTTATCGCACTTAAACGTGTATGGTTGAATTAACGTAATTATCTGAGTCAATTTTTGCTTCTCAGATATCCATAACACAATAAATGTACATTGTACATCATAAATTGTACATAAATGTACATCATCAATTTGAGAAAAAGTTTTTTGATTGGAATACAACAATTTTGCCATATAATGTATATCGAGATGCTGAACTCTGGCACTGCCAACCACCATACTAGCCGCAGTGAAAAGAAATAGCCACTTTTCGTCTAAATTATAATATGATAATAATTATAAAGAAATTATTAGATTTATTGACATTACTTCATGTTTTGAATGATTTGACAAATTTTTAATATCGGCCTAAACTAGTCGTTATTTTTATGCTCAACTGACAATCAAGAAACAGTCGTTGGATTATGTTATAGTAGCTAGCATCTAGCAACGGATTTTCTTTCCTCAAATTGACGGCCCTTCAAAGAAAGTTTAAATAAAGTATATATTATCTTCAAATTCTTTATTTTTCATTAATGTAAGATGCTTTTTTTGTTATCAAATAACAAAATAGTGTTTCTCATCAATGATGTTGCTCTTACTATACTCTGAATAGTAGGGTTTCAGTTTAATTTAATTAACTAATAAATTTGCTAATATATAAATTCTTTTTTTTACTTTGAGTCTATTAAACTCTCACACCTGCGCCAAAATCTTTTTAAAGCTCAAAACTTTTCAATTTCCTAATACGAGCATCACAACTTCAAATAAGTCAATAAATTTATTCCGCTTTGTTGCAACATATACTATGTATATGCTGCATGCATTTGCTGCATGCAACACAAATGTGACTCGTATGTCTCCGTGTATTTTCTTATATTGCATTTTCAAAGAAAATGCAGCTGTTGCGTGTGCAAGAAATTGAAAGTGAAATCCAAATAACTATGCATACTATATATGCGTATCTTGTTGTCAGCCGACGTTTTAGTAAGTTTATTTTTTATATTTCAAAATACAATTTTTGTTTACAAATTTAAATACTGCTTTATTTTTTTTTTTCTTATTGTACCAGAAACGACTGCAGTTTTCATAGATTTCTTAGGCTCTTTCATGTTTTACCCATAATTGGAACACGTTATCAAAATTTAATTTATGAATTTTTTGGCGTATTTAATTTTGTGGCTTATGGTGATGCCGAAAATGTTTTTCTACAGTCCGTTTTTTATTTTTTATGAATTATTATAAAACATATGTTTGAGATTAACCCAATTAAAATGAAATTCATAAACTGCAACGGGAAAGTTGTAAGCTATAACTGAACTGCAACAATTTAGGCGCCTTTAAGCATTAAAAAGCGCATTTAATATTTTTCGTCGACTGATAGGATCACTTAGTATCTTTACTCATTTTTTAATTAATGGTCTTAGGAGTAAATCTAGTAAAACATATTGAATCCAGCGTTTACACTGGATTTTGTCCACATTCTTACATACACGCTCACTTTTTTATTGATATATAAACATTTTGTCTACAGATTAAATTCGAAAATTATACGAAATTGCATTCGAATATAAGTCTTCTCAAAATATACCCCGTATATACACTGAATAAAGTTTAAGCAAAATTAATTTTAAAATAAAAATATGCAACTCTGAAACCATTGCTGTTAGGGCCATGTTATGTAGAGTGTCACGGGCATGGCACAAGTAAAATTGTTGTTGTTTTCAATGCAAATTATAAAATTGACAGTGAGAGAAAAAACAATATGTCGGAAAAAACAATTTCGTCATAAGACCCGAGGATATCTATGCCACGTCACTTAGCTCAAGAAGAGTTGTTCAGTAATAAATATCAGAATTTGCACCTTTTTGGAGCAAATACCTACAATTTCAATACGTTTTGGAGAAAAAAATGCCAGGAAGCAACACAGCCTATTTTATAAGCCGTTAATAATCTAATTGTCACACTTTACGATTTTAAGGAAAGCAGTATAATTTTGTAAGTTCGGTTAACAATTATTATAAGAAAATATAATAATAAATTAACATTTTTTTAACTTCTATTAGTTTATTCATACTGGTTATTTTTGGTGGAAAATTGAACGTGAGCACATCTACATTTCCTTTTAAATTTAGGCACAACCAAAAATTACAAAAGTACCGGAAAAATACTAAATTGGCAATACTGGTGTGGCACTTTAAATAACATGTATTTTCGTTAAAACTCGAAAGAACTAATTTTGACGTGCCCGCGACACTCTACATAACATGACTGTTAGGTTTTGTTTGTTCCTTCACCTTGGTCAAAACAGTTTTGTTTATATATAAGCATATCTACAACAAAAAAAAACTTGCCTTCTAAATACACATAACAATACAACAACACATACCAAAATAGTAGTAAATGTAGAAAATAAACAATTGAGATATGACTTTCTATGTATAGGAAGCCTTTTGACTATGATCAAAAAGAGAATAAAATTACCGTGAGCATTATTTATTTGACTGTCTGCATAACATAATTGTTAGGGCTAAGCTTACAATGTGATCTTACCATTTTAAACAAAGTGTAAATGCCCAATAACGAGCTCTTAAGTATTATTTACTAATCAGCTGTCATAAGTGTAAAACTTGAAAAAATCAAATAAAATTTTTGCAAGTGTTATTTAATAAATTGATTTGTATTTTATTTACTATACATTAATTTATTATAATATAGTTATGTTACAGTAAACATATATTTACACTTTTTTAATATTATCGTGTTGAAGATGATTTGTTCGTAAATGAATAGTTAAATAGAATAGAAGAAAAAGAATCACTAAATTTTGAATTATCGGAGTATTCGAAAAATTCGAATTGTTCGAAAACGAGCGGTACTAATATCCATATCATATGAAATATAGTACTAATCACTTTTCAAAAATTATACAAATGTGATAAAGCAATATCCCCATATCTATTATATCTATTCTATATGAGTTAATATTTGTTACTAATAATTACAAGTATTTTTTTCTAAATTCTATAGTGTAATAAAATCCCACTAATTTCTAAGAAATGAGTTATATTGAACATTTAATGAATAACAATTACTAAATGTGCTAGTAGATATAATTAAAAATAGCAAAATGATTTATATTTTTAGCAAAAAAAAAAAATTTAGTGCAAGTTCAAGCGTATCTAAAATATAGTATTTATATTGTGTTAAATGCGTTTAATAAAAAGAATAAAAAAAATAAAAAATAAGTAAACATTTACAAATTTCCCACATATTGCAAAAATGCAACATTAAACAGTGAAATGTAATTTGCTTAATTAAATTTTGAAATTCCATTTCACTCTGAATATAAAATTAAATAGGCGTACGTAATTAAAAGGGATCGATAATAAAAAAGGATATAAACTAGTTATCGGTAAGCAGAATTCAAATTATAATATATACAAACGAATCTGAAAAATGTTTCAGATTTAAACCAAAAAAATAAGACACTAAAATTAATACAAATATTCCATTATATACAGAATAATATTTAACACCAAAAACTCATATTCACTTATGTGCAAATATGACCTTCAACTTATGTATTAATCAAGAAATATTCAATTATTCTTTATTTATTCGTAAATTCATATTCATATTCGTTTTTTTGTCTCACGAGTGCAATATTGTAAGTAGGCTTTTTTTCAAAAGTGGATTAAATAATCAAAAAAATCGGTTGACTTTGTTAAATAAACATAACAATTGGAACTGATTTTTCTTTATAATTTTTAATATTAAAAATCTGATATGTTCAATATCTATATCATATTGAAGTTTTTTATATCGGAGTAAGCCATCGATTTTTTAGCATTCTTACATATACACGACTATTCAGTATTATAGTTAAATAAGGTTTTAGTATGACTACTAAAAAGAATATATATATGAATGGATTGCATGTGGATATAGTTACCTTACAAACGTACGAGTTAAATAGAAGTTCCTATATTCTTTCTAAATTTTCTATTTATTGTATATATATGAGGTGGTTTTTCTTAATGGCATAACTAATATTTTTGAGTAAGTTAGTTGAAAATTTTTTGTCGATTTATAACTTTACGGGAATAACGTATATTCATTGTTTTAAAGTCAG